TAGTTTGGCTAATGTGGATTCTGATACTTCTTCACAAATTTCTCACTTGGGTGACAGCTCTAACCATGACTAATTTAGTTTCTCAATGGAGAAGTATGAATCTCTCATGTCTCTTCTTCAACAATATAAGGACACTTCCTTTGTAAATCATACTCAAGTATCTATATGTCCAGGTGATATTTCTTGTTCTACTTCTTGGATTATGGATAGTGGTGCTATACACATTTGCCCCTCCAAATTTTCTTTCACTTCTTTAAAACCTATCTAACCAATTTTCATCAAGTTACCAAACAATACTATTGTCATTGCTAATTTTTCTATCACTTTTCACCTTGGTAATTTGACCCTTCTTAATGTTCTTTATGTACCAGATTTCACTGCTTATGTCATATGTCTTTCCAAATTGTTTTCTGCCATTAGTTACATGATAATATTCTATATACACGTTGTTTCATCATTTAGATATCCAACTTTTGAACAATTGGTACGACTAACAATGGAATGACTTATTTTACTTACAAGACTTCAGGGACTTGAATTCATGTGACTCATTTTCTAATAAGCATTTTTCTTCATCTCATGTTTCTCCTGTACAAAATACTCTTTGGTGTGATATCTTAGACTTGGTCATATATCAAATAAAATGTTGAAACACTTGTCTTTTTTATACAATGACATTATATTTGATTACTTGCAACCTTGTGATACTTCTCATTATGCAAAATAAATGCAATTACCTTTTCCTTCTAACCATAGTAAAAGTTTTAGATTTTTTAAACTTATACATGTAAGGGTTTAGGGTCCCATCGCTACTACTTCCATTGATGGTTTTAAATACTTTTTTACTATCACTACTGCAGAAAAGACTGTCTATGTCGGTTAAAATGAGCTTTCTACGTCGGTTAAAGAGACGACATAGATACAAGGATCATAGAAAGTAAGACTTGTTACATTGGTTATTATGAACCGTCATAGAAAATATCACTTTCTACGTCAGTTAATCATACAATCGACGTAGAAAGTCTTACTTTCTATGTCGGTTTATACTGTTAACCGACGTAAAAAGTCTCACTATTTGAACCTCTTTAGTGGGAATATGGATTGAGGCAACAACATCCCGAACAAAATCAAGAAAGAAAGTGACTTAGAATATAACAACTAAATTGGCTAAATGACACCCATGATCTTTCTCTCTGTTGACAACATTATCACAGACCATAATTAAAACTGTAAACCTAGAATGACTACAAAAATACATTCAAATGACTAGAGCAGGCACGGAAACTTACCTCTTGAAGACCTAGAATCAAAACTCGCAGTGAAGGACACCAACAACAGCGGTGACGGTAGTGGCAGGTGATGTGACGGCGGCGGTAGGTGGCGCAACGTACAAAGGTGACAACTGCGACGACAGCGGCAAGTGGCGCGACGTACATCGGCAACGAGTTTCGCAGTAGAGACAGAGAGAATGAGGAGCTCTACTATGGGTGAAGTGATGAAATGGAGTGGCGAAGGCAAAGAAAAATAGAAGATACTATGTCGGTTGACCAAATATCCATCATAAAATACACTTTCTATGTCGGTTAAACTAAAACCGACATAGAAAGTTCACTTTTTATGTCGGTTGAAATTTAACCGACATAGAAAGTGAATTTGTCCACATACCATGTCGGTTACATAATAACCGACATAAAAAGTTTATAAAATTATTACAAAAATGTCATCTCCCTACATACTATGACGGCTAGATTACAACTGTCATAAAAAGTCGTAATAGAATCATATTTTTTCATTAATGTATAGTAGATGAGTTTACTTGATTCACTTATATTCATCCTTTACATGTTAAATCTAATGTCAAATCATTCTTCCATCTTTTGTTCAATTAATTGAAACCAAATTCATGATAAAACTAAAGAAAATCAAGTTTGACAATGGTAAAGAATTTTACTTAACTGATTTTTCTTCTAACAAAGACATTTTTCATGAAATCTCTTATGTTGAGACCCCTCAACAAAATGACATTGTTGAGAGGAAACATCAACATTTATTAAATGTTTGTTGTTCCTTATTATTTCAAGCACATTTACCCACCTGTTTTTGGTCTTTTGCTGTAAGGCATGCCACACACATCATAAATAGACTTCCAATTTCTTTATGAATTTGTGTATTATCATGCACTTGATTTATAGTTATTACATGTGTTTAGATGTTTAGCGTATGTCACTACTCTAAAATTCAGAAGAACTAAGTTTGACAAAAGAGCTGCAAAATCCATTTTCTTAGGTTTTAAAATTAGAACTAAAGGATATGTTTTGTACAGTCTCAATCACAAATTGTGTTTCATGTCTCGTAATGTTATCTTTTATGAAACACATTTTCCTTATGTCCCTCCAATTTCCACCTTTTTTAATACAAAACAATTAAATAACATTCATGACAATACTAAGTTTGATAATCTTATCACTTTTGATAATACTTTCTAGCATTCATCTTCTGTGTTTTACATGATTCATCACATACATTTGATTCTAATGTTTTATAAAAAAATATTTCACCTATTTCTCATGATATTGTTCAAGTCACTGAGTCAGATATCAAAATATCCACTCGAATAAAGAAGCATTCTCCTTACTTAGCTTATTACCACTGTCCTACACTTGCTTCATCTCACCTTACTTCCACTACCCCTTACTCTTTGAATTCATATCTTTCCTATTCAAAATGTTTTAACTCTCATATGACTTTTTATCTTTCTATTTATGGTATAATTGATCCTACATCCTTCAAGGAAGCAAGTCAACTTAAATGTTGAAAAACAACCATGATGGCTGAATTACAAGCTCTATAGAGGAATAACACTTGGTCACTAGTTAATCTTCCTCCAGGAAAGAAATTTGTGGGTTGCAAATGAGTCTATATAGCCAAATATTGAGAAAATGACTCAATTGAAAGGTATAAAACCTGTTTGGTGGCCAAAGGTTTCACACAAACACAGGGGGTAGATTTCTTTGATACTTTTTCACCGGTAGTGAAATTAACTATAATACGCTTTCTTCTTTCTATTGTTGTATCTTCTGGCTAGTTTCTACATTAACTTAATATATACAATATCTTCTTACTTGCTGATCTTCAATAAGAGGTTTATATACGACCACCACTTGGACTTGTTCTATCTTCTTCAAAAATGGTTTGTAAATTACACAAATTATTATATGGGTTACGACAAGCCACAATGGAATGCCAACCTCACATATGCATTAATCACCTTTGGTTTTACACAAAGCTCAGCTGATTATCCCCTGTTTGTTCATCATATAGACAATTCCTTCATATCTCTTTTAGTTTATGTAAATGACATTGTCTTAACTAGTAACAATCTTCCTTTCATCACTCAAGTCAAACACTATCTTCATGATGAATTTCGCATCAAAGACTTTGGTGACCTTAAACATTTCTTGGGTTTTGAAGTTGCTCGGCCTCAGCGTGGTTTCTCAATCAGTGTAAGTATTGCCTTGAAATTCTATTTGAGTTTGGTCTCACTGGTTGTAAACCAATCGAATCTCCTACTAATCCCTTTGTCAAACTCAATGATGATGATGGTGAACTAATTGCTGATCTCACGGGTTTTCGGAGGTTAATTGACAATTTATTATACTTGTCAAATACACAACCAGACATTAATTTTGTTGTATAGTAAATAAGTCAATTCATGTATCAATCACACCATTCTCATCTTCAACATGCTTTTTGCATTATCAAATATCTAAAGAATGCACCTAGAAAAAGACTTTTTTTTATTCGATTCACAATCCTCACGAACTTCAAGCCTTTTGTGACTTAGATTGAGCCACATGTAGTGTTACTCACAAGTATATCATAAGGTATTGCATGGTCATTGTTTGATTTCATGGAAATCCAAAAAGCAAACTATTGTCTCTCATAGCTCCATAGAGGCTGAATATAGGGTTTTCGCATTTGCTGCTTGTAAATTACAATGGCTTGCATGCTAATGATTTAAATCTTTCAATACAATGTCTCATCTTTTTCCTACTTTCTGTGACAATCAGTCTGTCATTTAGTTGGCCAACAATCCATTTTTCCATTAGTGGACCAAGCACAATAAAGTGGATTGTCACCTTGTCTAAGTACAAAAATTTCCAGGCCTCATCATTCTTTCACATATTCCTTCCAAATATCAACTAGTTGAAGAGTTTACAAAATTACTATATCCAACTCCTTTTCATTAAAATTTATCTAAATTGAGTCTCATTAACATTCACCACTCACCTTGAGAAGAGTATTAGGGATTTTAGTTATCTTTTGATAATGGGTTTGTAAACTAATTTTGTTTTTTTGTTTAGCTCTATATATAAAGCTAGTCTCATGTGATTTTTTTAGTCGTGTTAATTAATAACCACAAGTCTTATATATCTTGTTTAAGTTATGAGTATATTCTTTATTTCACTATGAAATAATAGCTAAATTTAAATATATTATTAATTTTTTTTTCAATTTCATTAATTTATTACCTAATTTTTAATTTGGTAAATTTTATCGTTGAGCTTTTAAATTTACTAATTTTACGATTTCAATTTCAATTTCAAAATAACGTGATTTTTTGCCTTAATATTGGTGTGAGGTGAACTATAGACATGATTTGTTACTTTAAAATTGTTTATTTAACTATTTACAATACATTTAGAAATTTTTTTACAATCTTCTAATAAATATGGATATATATATATATATATATATATATATATATATATATATATAGATATAGATAGATAGATATAGAGAGAAAGAGAGAAGAGAGAAACACATTTTCAATAAGAATTTAATAAATTATTTTCTCATATTACTATAATTAATTTTTATTTTGATAATTTTAAAATAATATATATATATATATATATATATATATATATTATAATATTCTAAAAAATTATGATTTGTAGTTATGTAACATTATATCTTGAATCAAATGCCTCTAAGCAATGGAGGGAGTTAAGATTGACGTTGCCCGTGATTTAATTGGGCCGGATAATAAACAGATCAGGTTTAGATTGGACGTCGAAGGTAGCCCATTTTGTTCTTCTCTTGTTTTCTAGTGAATCTAGAAGGCTTCTATAATACATATATAATTTATGAAGAATGTTATTAACTTTTCTTATTAAACATAACAAAACAATAAATCTTATAATAAATAAATGTAAACCCTATCTTCTCATAATAAATATTTTATTAAAAAATGTGTTATTCAATGTTGTTGTTATCTACTATTTTCTAATAAAATAGTTATGCGATTTTTGTTTTATTCTTTATTATTTCAAATTATACATAATGGAAAATGTATCAAAGTAAAGCGTGATTAAAAATAATAATTAATGATATCTTAATATTTATTTTGAGGATAAGCTGGCGTTAAGAACGCAAGTTACTAGAAAACAAAATGATTGAGACAACCTTCTCAATTCATATATGTTCAAGATGTATATCATCATATATGACAATTTTAGTGAGGTTAGAAAAAAAAATGGTAAAAGTAGATAAGCAATAGAATAGAAATAAATGCATATATTTCATATAAGGAAAAAGAAATTAAAATATAAAAATAAAAAATTAATAATAGTTTTTAAAATAATAAATACGTAAAATTGATTAAATATAGAAAAATAAAATAAAACAGATAACTGTTACAAACATAATATAATCAATTATATCTTCATTATAACATCTTTCATGTTAATTAGTTTCTTCCAACCTTTACCAGAATATTCATGAATCTTATAATCTCTTAACTTCTTCATTCTTGCTTCCCTCTCCCCTTCTCTTCTCCTAATAAAAGAGGAGAAAAATATGAACAAAATACATCAAAGTTCGATCAATTTTGAATAAAACCCTACTTCAGGATTTCTCAATCATCAGCATATACATGTTTTGAAAAAGGGAAAAAAAAAAGTACACACAACATATAATGAGCACTCGATTACATTCTTCAAGAAGATAATGATTGAGAGCTTGAGTGTGTGCTTTATGTGTCAATATAAAGCAAAACCCTTCTCTCTCCATATGGAAAACCAAAGACGAAAAAACTCAAAGTGGTTTAATAATATTTCATGATTCTGAAAGCTAGATTAAACATGTCACTCTGACCAAAAAGATCGTTACAAACCCTACTCACAGGATTAGACAACAACTCTTTACAATAGCCATCACTTCTATTACATATCCAGCAAACTTTGCACAGAGGTTTTTGGAATGTCACAGATTTTATTTATATTTTGATCAATCTAGAGTATTTATGGCTGATAAGCTAACAACTAACCTCTTGAAGACTTTCTTAAGAAGTTTATCACTTTCAGAGATGTTTTTTCATAGGAAAATAAAGCTTTGATCACATGCTTAAAGTATAGATTAGCTATATAATTACATGGAAACAATACAACAAATGAATTTATGGGGGGAGAGAGTATGAAAATGTGTATCTTTGAACTGTTGAGATAGGGTGGGAGGAAGAGATGAGCAGTGAACAGCATTGCCAAAAATACAATAGCAAGCTAGAGGGAAGAGAAAAAAAAGGTAAGCATAAGTATGACAAGATGATAAAGGCACCCTAACAAAAAGAGGTGGAAAAAGCTTCCACATCCTTACTTCTACTGACAGTATCCTGCCTTATTGCCTGAACATATTTATACCCATCACAGACTTGTTCTCAGCATGGCTTCAAACACATAGCCATAGCCTAGTGAGGCATACAGTATTTTACTCAGTACTCACCAGCAGCAGCAGCAGCAGCCACTCCTACTACTATGGAAAAAGAAACAAAGGTGATTGTTCTTGCATCTTGTGTTTAATTTTTTTCCTTCGTATTTTGGTTTGATATTTTGATTCTTTTTCCTGCTTTTGTAGGTGCCAGATGGGAATGCCAGTGTAGGGTCCTTGGCATTTGGATCCATTCTGATGAACCCTTTTTACGTTTTTTGGAGCATTCTCTGAAGGCATTACTTGACTCCCATAAACGGCAAGACAGAGATGCCAGCCATGTGTTTCAGCACATAAAAGATGTAAATTAACTTTAAAACAGAAACCCCTTTGGAACATACAATAAAATAAAGAGAAACCTGCAAAGTGTTGTATCATGTGGAACAGTTGCTAGGGTTTAGAGTGCAGAACTAAAAAAACTTTACCTGGCCCACATTGCAAGTTCATCCATTCATAATGTTATTTTTCTCTCTGTTTCTTGTTTAGAGCACTTGTCATACAAGTGGAATATTAATATATGTAAACTTTTCTTATATTATACCACCATAATATCATGTGAATATATATACCGTCAAGAGTATGAATCAAAGAAGAGAAAACAAATGAGAAAATATTAAATGACATATGAAGATAATTTATAATTGTGTTTATAACACACACACAAAATCATATCTAAATTATATATAATATAAGAAAAAAATGCATAAATTTCAATGTCTATTTATCAACCCATAAATACTCAAAATAATTTTTTAATTATGTGAAAAATTTTATACTCTCTACACAATAATAACATTTGTATCAAAATTTTGACTTATGAAGCAAAACTAGAAACAATTTTTAAAATATTTTGGATAATTGCACGCTACAAGAGAAATTGAAGAAAACATAAATAATTGCACATACAACACGCAATCCCCAAATTCATTTATATTACATTAGGGAAAATTTATCAAAATAAAAACCATAAGTCTATACTTTTATTTAATTTTTAACTATTTTACATTAACAAATTTTGTTATAATTAACAAGATTAAATCTTATTAAATGTATTGATATAATCCCAACTTAGAACCTCTAAATATATGATTTTATTTCTATTACTAACAAATAATATAATAATATTTTACATAAAATTAATTAATTATTTGATTATATTAGTTTTTCTAATTTAACAATCAAATATCAAAATTATTTTTTTAACAAATATTAAAACACTCATTTATATGTAATTCTGTAATATTCATCATAATAAATCAATAATTTATTATTCAAGTTAATATATTAAAACCTATAATAGTATTTTTAACATTTAATATATATATATATATATAATATTTATCATCAATGATTTAAAGAAAAACACATTTCTTAATTTATAATGTTCAAATTTTTAATTTTATTATAAAATTGAATATAGTTGATGAATAATTATTAATTTTATAAACATTTGATTATATCCAATTTATTTAACTACCACTCTGTATTCGAAATTAAAATATAATAAATAATTTATCAATGATAATATTTTAAAGAAAGAATTTATTTTTTTCTTGAAAAAATTTTAAGGTAAAAAAATTATTTAATCAGTTGAGAATCATCACATCAAATACCTATTATTTATATATTTAAATTAATATAGAAGATATATGAATATTCACCTATGAATACTATATATTCGAATTATTAATAATCTTGTGATGAATAAAAATTAAAATTATAATAATTATAGGAGATTCGCTTCTTATTATTATAATTTCTATTATGATAACAAATCTTAAATTATAATAAAATATTTTATCAAAATAATTATTATATTATTAATATAAATATGATAAAGAAAAAATTTTTTATTATAAAAATAAAATTGACTACATGATAATTGGATTTTGTGTACATAGTTATTCTTAACCATCTTCTTTTACACTAAAGTGAATTAGTCATGTGTCTCATTGCTACTTTCTGTTTGTGTTCATCAAACTCTTTTATGCTAAACACTTTAGTGATTGAGTCTGTTGCATTCTCTTGGCCATCTAATTTTTCAATCTCAAGGTCACCATGTTTAATGATCTTTCTAATCAAATGATATATTGGCAAAATACTTTTGACATTTGGTGTGATATTGGTTCTGTTACTTGAGTAATAGCTCCATTATTGTCACGTAATAATTAGTTCATAAATGAACTTTTTCATCCATACCACTTCTTGATCTATAACTTATTATTGAACATCAATAACTGGGACTAATGACCTTTGTGTTATTCTATTGGTTGACTTCTTTCTACAAAATTTTACCATGACTTCTTTCTACAAAGGTAGTCCCTTTAGGCACAAACACTTTTAAGGTTAGAAGGTTGCTAAAAATCATATTCCATTGTTTCCTAAAGTTAGCCAATATATGCATCAAAGTATTTTACCTCGGGTTGAGTTTACTTGTTAATAGTTTCTTAAAAAGCATAAAAATCTCATACCTTTGTGTGTTTAAGATTTGGTTTACACCCTTTACATATGTCATATATGAAGTTGTAGGCACTGTTTTTGTAGGAACTTTATTTAGCAAGGTACTACTTCTAAAGTATATCCCATAAGTTTTTAAAAAAGATTAGTGAGCCTCATCATAGAGCTTCTCATATCTAATAGTAATATTCAATTTCTCCTTTCAGAAATATCATTCACTTATGGTGTTCCTATGAGAATTTCATTATCTATTAGCAAGGTACTACTCTCCACCTCTGTCGAGTTTCAATATCTTAATATTTTATCATGTTTGTTTCTTAATCTCATTACTAAATATTATGAATATTAATTTCAAATGATTTATGTTTCATCAGGTATAAAAAATCATATCTAGACATATCATCAATCAAAGTTATAAATTATAAAGTAAGAATATCATTTTTTGCATAAATTTTTATTTGTCCACAAATATGTGTGAAATAATCCTTCAAATTTTGAGACTCTTTCTCCCATTCCAATAAAATGATAAGATTTACTTATTTTTCGTTTGAGACAAGATTTACAAGTTGCATGTGATTCATAATTATCAAGGTAACAATTTTCATGTCACTTATTTATTCTTTTCTCACCGTGGTCAAATATCTTCTTCTTCTTCTTTTTTCTTTTAATACTAAAATAAACATTTACCGATGGAATTATGATTCACACACTAAAAGCAACTAATTATAATAATATAAATATTTATCGCTAATAATATTTTGTGACAATAATTTAATTGACACTAATACACATGTCACTAATGTAAATGTAACAATATTTTTAAATATCACTACAATTAAACTTTATAGTGACAAAAATATTTAACATTAATAATTATATATAATAGTAATAATAATAAATTTTCACAAATATATTAAACAATAATGATAATAAAGTTATCACTATTAAAATTTTATAAAAAAAATAATTATTTTAATATCACAGATATTTTAAAAAATAATAATAAATTAATTATTATTCATAATTTATAGAAATAATTATTATTAATTTAATGTCACAAATATATAAACAATAGTGATTATTTGTTATTATTATAATTTATAAAATAATAATAATATTATTTTGATAAAGATAATAATAAATTAATTATTATTGTTTATACTTTTTTATAATAACAATAAGAAGAATAAATTTAATATTAATCTTTGTTGTAATTATTAATTTTTAAAATTATTACTCAATCATTAAATTCTTAAAATATAGATGATATGTAATTCTTCTAAATTTTCTTTATTATTTCAAAATTATAATGAATAGATAAATTATTTTAAAATATTAAAATAAATAAATAAATATTTAAACATAAATTATCCATTACATTATAAATGATAAAAACTAAAACACATGACAACATTCTAAATTCAACTAAAACACAATAAATATTTGACAAGATTCTAAGTTCAAAGATCATAAAGAACTGGATATATTTTTAGTTCAAGTTATTACAATTAAATAATTATTTCTAAAATAAATAAAAAATAATAACAACGTGTAGTATCTTCAAGTAGTTTGATCCTCCAAAATAAAAAAAATAATATATTCGTGTAAATATATAAATATGTAAATATATAAATATGTAAATACAAATATATTTATATATTTTGATATATTTATATAATTATATATTTATATGTTGAATGTGAGAGCACGCTCGAAGGTGAAAGTGTGTGTCGAATTTGATGTCAAATTTGTGAGTGGGTCTCTTTATATGAGTTTGTAATTTAATGACAGAATATAATATTTATAATTTATTTATATAATGATATAAAATAAATTTGGGAAACACATCATTCGCTCAAGCGAAAAATACCAATTTTCGCTCAAGCGAGGCTTTGAGCAAGTCAATTTTCGTGAGCTTTAACGTATTTTCACTCAAGCGAGAGTCAATCTAACTTTCACCCTTGAACGCGCCCTCACATCCAACATATAAATATACACTACTAGAAAAATGGTTAATAGTGACCGAAATTAGTGATCGAAAAATTCAGTCACTGATAGTAACTGAATCAGTGACTGTTTTTCCGTTTTATATTTAATGACTTATTTAGTGAATAAAATTTCAGTCACAGAAATCAGTCACTGATTCGGTTACCAAATCAGTCACTGATTCGGTCACTACTTAAAAAATGGTTAATAGTGATCGAAATTAGTGATCGAAAAATTCGAGTTACTAATAAGTAACTGAATCAATGATCGATTTCTCTTTTTATATTTAGTGACTAGTCACTAAACAAATAATCTATAAAATAGTGACCATTTTTTATTTATATAAATATTTTTTTAATATATTTTAATAATATATTAAATATAAATATACTTAATAATTTAAAATAATTGATAAATTTTTTAATAACATTATAAATTTTTTTAAAATAGTTTATTAACTTATTAAATAATTTAGTAATATAATTATTTGATTTTATTTTTTTATTTAGTATGTGAATAAAAAAATTAAAATTAATTATTAAATTAGTCACTAGAATAGGTCAACTGATTCGATCACTAAATCGATAATTAAAGTAATTATTAATTTATTCTCTTTTATATATATATATATATATATATATATATAATCAATGATTAAATTAATTATTAATTTAGTCTCTTTTTGATTGATATATATATATATATTACTTTTATGTTAATAAAAATGAATTTCAATGTATTTATAAAAAATTAAAATTATTTTAATTATTGAATTGATATTTCAAATTTATATTAATATCTTAAATAATTTAATAATTGGATAAATATTTTAAGTTTATATTAGTATTTTTATAAAAGTGTAAAGATT